AATTAAATTAACAATTTGTCTTACATTATACTTCATATATCTTCCAGTTATAAATCCAGATTGATCACTATGAATCAATTGCCTCAAAACTTGCATTAATCTATTTGCCAATATTTTTGAAAAAATCTTGTAGTCTATATTCAATAAAGATATAGGTCTATAATTCTTGGGCTGAGTCAAATCCTGACCCTCCTTTGGGTTCAGCGATATGAAAGCCCTTCTCCAAGATGGAGGTACCTCTGCACCCAACAAAATACTATTAAACAGTTCCTTTAATGGCTCTATCATTTCATCAGATAACATCTTATAATAAATTGCTGTTAATCCATTTGTACCGGGAGCCTTACCAACCTTTAATTGCTTGATTGCTCCAATAATTTCCTCAGAAGTAATCAAGCAATTCATCTCCTCCTTTTGATTATTTGATAATCTAGGAAAGTCTGCCTGCTGTAGATCAGGGCTTTTCAACCAGTGGTACGGGTACCACCTGTGGTACATTGGCACCTGGCAGGTGGTATGCGACCATCCTAGAAAAGTGGTAGTGGAGGAGGGGAATGAGCTGAACCGGTGGCAGCACTGCACAAGCCTAAGCGAGAGATGGCTGGAGCTGCAGGGCTGTCAGGGCTCAGTGGAAGCGCCAGGATCAGCGCCAGGCTCCAGCTGGAGCTCAGCGCTGATCCTGGTGCTTCTGCTGAGCCCTGAAGAAACGCCGATCAGCTGGAATGTTGCAGCATCTCCAGGGTCTTATGATTTACATTCAGATGCTTGGCAACTGATTCATATTTATGATGGTCACAGTGTCCCAGGGTCATGTGAAGTGACCAAAACCTGCTGTAACCACCCAGCAGACGGGAGGAATAAAAACCAAACACCCCCCACCCCACCCCTGCTGCCAATCCTCAACAGAAATGCTCACAACAATGGAAACCTCGGACAGGAGGAAGAGCGCTGCTGGACGGGCAGGTAGGTGTCTTACTCGGCTGTGGCTTGGGGGGCACTTTTTTCAGTGCCATTGTAACTTCGAACAGTCACTAAGCGAACTGTTGTAAGTCGAGGACTACCTGTAGTTTATCACTTTTTTCCTTTTTTGGGGGGGTCATCAAGTTTTTGACATCTTGCTAGGCGACTGGTGGTCCTCGGATGTTGCCATATCCTAAAAGTGGTAAATAGGTGAAAAGGTTGAAAAGCCCTGCTGTAGATAATTCTCTATTTCTGAAAGTTGTATATTCTCAGAGGCATATAACTTTGAATAAAAATCCAAAAAACTACTTTTAATCAAATTTTGTTTATATGTCACTTTGCCTTTGTAATCTACTTTCTCTATAATTCTTGACTTCTGCTTCTTTCATAATTGGTAGGCTAACCACCTACCAGGTTTATTTGCATTACAAAAAGTATTATGTTTCATAAATTGCAAATTAGTTGCCATCTGATCAGCCAATAACATATTGAATTGCTCCCTAAGCATAGTTATGGCTACCTTTAACTTATTATCCAGTGGATTTAAAATAAGAGCCTTCTCTTTTAGTTTAATCTCCTCTTCTAAATCTCTTCGTTTTTGCATCTGTTTGCGCCTATATGCACTATTCATATGAATCAGAGCACCTCTCATATATGCTTTACTAGCATCCCAAACCTTTGAAATCGAGGTGCCCTTATGCATATTCAACAAAAAAAATTCTTTCAGATAATCTCTACATTTCTGCAAATTCCCCTCATATCTAAATAAATTTTCATTTAATCTCCAAGTCCTTCTATTCCCATCTTCAGCAGATAATTCCATCCATACAGGACTATGATCTGACAATATTCTAGGAAAAATCTTGATTTCTTCACCCTAGAAAAGAAATCATTAGTAATTAAAAAAAAGTCAATTCTGGAATACGATTGATGTCTGTCCGAAAAAAAGTAAAGTCTCTTTCTTCTATATTCCGTTCTCGCCAGATATCTCTTAATTCCAAATCATCCTTCAAATCAAAAAAAGTTTTAGGTAAGATAGAATGATTAGAAGCTTTAAAGGAACCTTTCTTATCTTTACTTGAATCTAAAACACCATTCCAGTTTCCAATAATAATAATAATAATAATAATAATAATAATAATAATAATAATAATAATAATAATAATAATAATAATAATAATAATAATAATAATAATANTCACCGCTTCTGGAGGCAGGTTGTTCCACTGGTTAATTGTTCTCACTGTCAGGAAGTTTCTCCTTAGTTCTAGATTGCTTCTCTCCTTGATTAGTTTCCACCCATTGCTTCTTGTCCTGCCTCCAGGTGCTTTGGAAAATAGCTTGACTCCCTCTTCTTTATGGCAACCCCTGAGATATTGGAACACTGCTATCATGTCGCCTCGTCCTTCTCTTCATTAAACTAGACATACCCAATTCCAGCAGCCGTTCCTTATATGCTTTAGCCTCCAGTCCCCTAATCATCTTTGTTGCTCTTCTCTGTACTCTTTCTAAAGTCTCAACATCTTTTTTACATAATCCAATTGATTTACTTTCTGATGTATCAACTTGTAAAACTGTTTTTGTTGTTGATTTGGAGCGTATAATCCAATAATAAGACATCTCCTTCCATTCAATAATAACTCGATAATAACATATCGTCCTTCTAAGTCAGAATCAATTAACTTCGGCGATAACTCTTTTTTCACATAAATAACTATGCCTCCTTTTTTCTGCTGGGCAGAAGCTGTAAAATGCATTCCCAACCGGGAATTAATCAAATACTTTTGATCCTTTGAAGTAATATGAGTTTCTTGCAAACACACAACATCATTCTTATGTTGTTTCAAATAATGAAATATTTTCTTTCTTTTCTGTGGTGAATTCAAACCGTTAACATTCCATGTCAGGAATCTTGCCATTTTTAGTGGCTTGGAGCCTCTGAAACACTCCTTGAAGATCAGCTGTCACTGATCTCTTAGGTCTTGTATCTCCCACTGGCTCTGAGGTAATCTGATGCATTATAGGTACAACATCCATCTTTTGCTGCTCTTTTTCTTTACATCTGTGAGCTGCATGGGTCATTCTTTGTCCCTTTGGATCATCTTTCATCTCAGAAAGTTGTTGCTTATCACCTTGTGAATCTCCTACACTTAATGGCATTGCTCCTTCAACCGCTTGTTCTTCAAACATTCTTCTTCTGCTAAATCATGGAGATAGTGGTGAACCTGCCTTCAAAACTGAACTGTAAAAATCTCTTGCTTTCAAAATTGTGTTAAGCCTATAACGTGTCCCCATATAGCTCACCACAATTCCAACAGGTATATCCCATCTGAATTGAATTTGTCATTTTTTTCAGCTCTTCAGCCAAAAAAGCAAAATCCTTTCTTTTCCTAAGTATCTTAGGAGGTATTTCCTTTAAAATTATAACATCTTGCACTAGAATTTGGAATCTCTGTTTATAAAAGGCTTGAATAACTTCATTACGAATTAATCTTCTGGAAAAGTAAGTACTTTTCCAGGGGAAAGGATTTCTTAAACAGCAATGAGGGTAGTTAAGATGAGGTTGGATTTGTGAAGGAACTCTGGTTGCCATAGAACATCTCATTGTGGAAAACATAGATAGCAGCAGGTGCTACAAAGGCCCCCGGCAGCATAAATTTATACTACCAAACACAGGCCATATATGTGCCATTGCACAGAGAAGACATGGCAACCTCACTCCAGGTTTAAGGTAGTTTTCTCCTATCTGGTGCCCTCTGGATGGTCTGGACTGGTCCCATAAACCCCAAATAGGGGCATTAAGGATGGCCAGGTTAAACACATATTCTTTAGTATACGTTGCCCTGAACAAGATATACAGTACATTATTTTTAATCTTGTGGCAGAAGGTACTCTCCTTAGCATCCATAGTCATGCATACATTGTGTATAAATGCCTGCAGTAGCAATTGCCATGGCCTCAAATATATGAGGGGAATTCAGAAATAAACCTCCGCTTGAGCACGTGCGACAAATAGGCAGGGATACCGACGCCCGTCCTATGGAGCCTTGCGCAATAGTTCAGTAGGCAGTGAGGAATGGAAGGAGAAGGTAGTGTTGTAGTTGACTCGTCCACTAGATCAATTGAAAATAAACCCTGCCATAGAAAATCTCTCCAAAGATGAAGTGCATGCAGTAATACGATTCCTGTGTGTGAAAAAACTTTCAGCAGCTGCGATTCACCATGAACTGTGTAATGTTTATGTACCAAATGTGATGAGTGAAGGTGTTGTACATCAGTGGTGTCACATGTTTAAAGATGGATGAACTGACCTGCATGATGAGACAAGAAGTGGTCACCCATCTGTAGTCAGCAAAAGTTCTGTATCTGCACGTGTCTGTCATGATAACCAAATGGAGGTTTATTTCCGAATTGCCCTCGTATGTTCTTGTTGCAAATTGGAAGACTAGCAGATTTCATCCAAGCAAAACAATGAGCTGAAAAATCAGCAGGCAGTATAGCACCATGGGATCTGCCATGGGAGCATTAGAGCAGGGCTTTTCAATCTTTTCACCTATTTACCACTTTTAGGATATGGCAACATCCGAGGACCACCAGTCGCCTAGCAAGATGTCAAAAACTTGATGACCCCCCCCCAAAAAAAGGAAAAAAGTGATAAACTACAGGTAGTCCTCGACTTACAACAGTTCGCTTAGTGACTGTTCGAAGTTACAATGGCACTGAAAAAAGTGCCCCCCAAGCCACAGCCGAGTAAGACACCTGCCTGCCCGTCCAGCGGCGCTCTTCCTCCTATCCGAGGTTTCCATTGTTGTGAGCATTTCTGTTGAGGATTGGCAGCGGGGGTGGGGTGGGGTGTGTTTGGTTTTTATTCCTCCTGTCTGCTGGGTGGTTACAGCAGGTTTTGGTCACTTCACATGACCCTGGGACACTGTGACCGTCATAAATATGAATCAGTTGCCAAGCATCTGAATGTAAATCATAAGACCCTGGAGATGCTGCAACATTCCAGCTGATCGGCGCTTCTTCAGGGCTCAGCAGAAGCACCAGGATCAGCGCTGAGCTCCAGCTGGAGCCTGGCGCTGATCCTGGCGCTTCCACTGAGCCCTGACAGCCCTGAAGCTCCAGCCATCTCTCGATTAGGCTTGTGCAGTGCTGCCACCAGTTCAGCTCATTCCCCTCCTCCACTACCACTTTTCTAGGATGGTCACGCACCACCTGCCAGGTGCCAATGTACCACAGGTGGTACCCGTACCACTTGTTTAAAAGCCCTGCATTAGAGACTTCTTGGATCACCCCATCAAGCTGAGCTGATGGGTGCAATTCCATTCTTTGAATATCCACAAGGATAGTACTGAAGGACAGGTAGATGGCATAGCAGAATACTAAAGTCCCCTGCAAGAATATCTACATGATGTAACTTCACATGTTTCATTGCTCATTTCCCCCTCTGGCATAGGTCCGGTTCCTGATGAAAAGCCACTCATTTCTGCGAGAATCGATGCCCCCTCTTCTCCATGCCAGGGACCAAGTTGGTGAGTTTGACTTGGAGGCCCTTAGTGATGATTACTGTTGTGTTTTCGGTTCGCAAGCAATTGACGAAGACGCATGGTGGAAACAATAGCTCTTTATTCTCCTTCTCCAACTCCAAGTGAAGAGCAAAAGGCTCGCAGGCCTTTTATAGGGTGAGGAACCCAGATAGTGCTAACCAATAGGAACACAGCGTTTTCACCCCTTGCGCATGCACACAAGGCTGGCGCCGCTCTGTCTGGTCCCGGGCAGCTTTTACAATGCCCAGGACCATTTGCAACCTTTCTGGGCCTGCTGAGTTTCCTCAACAGGCCCAGGACACAACACCCCTCCCCCCTAGATAGAACACACACACAATTCCAATTTTCTTTACAATAATAATAAAATAAAAGAAAATAATATTCTACTCCATACAACACCCTTCTATAACTAATAGGGTTGGCTAACCAACCACTCTCTAATGTGGGCTTCGTGTGTCTATCTATTTTCCCAACATAGGTTCATCTCCATAACCTAGACTTGTAAGGTCCCTTGTGTTGACAGGAACCTCACATAATTGCCTAGATGCTTAGGAGGGGCCTTAGCCCGTTGTGACTTACGCAAGGTTAGGGAGGGGGCCTGGCTTGTCAGCTCAACTGCTCAGCTAGGCAGACCAGGACTTGTACTTAAGGGTGCCTGGCCTACCGGCCCATCTGATGGGCTCTCCAGACCAGGACTTTTATGCACACGTTTTGCAGGTGACCCCTGGTGAGGCGTACTGGCGAAATTGCCAGAGCTCTTTCCAGGCTCCTTTAGAGCTCCTTCTGAATTGGCTGAGGATTCCCCAACTACCCTGGATGGCTCCAGGGAACTTAATCCCTCGAGTCCACGACCAGTCTCGGACGTGACCTGCATTGCAGGAGTGCCCCAATCGTTCCAGTCCCCAGTGGCCGAAGTGCCAGAGTCAGGAGCTGCCTCTATGGCAAACTCCTCCTCAGGTGAATCCCTGTTTGGAGCTCTTGCAGATACACATGACTCCCAATTCAGAGCAATAGCTGAACCGTGAGGATGCCCGTGCTCCACCCCTGGGAAATCCCTGGTGTCCTGCGGTACTTCCCAGAAGCAATGGGCCAGGGTCTCAGGATGTTGACCTGAAGTGCGATCTGGCTCCTGGGCCCCCTCCCCCTCGAGAGCAGAGGCAGGGGTGGAAGCATCATGGGACAAGCGCCAGCGCAGTTGATCGATGTGATGCCTCAGGACGCGACCATCTCCCAGGGTCACTTCATATGATAGAGGTCCAGAGATCTTACAGATGACAGCAGGGACCCAGAGGCGCCCAGGACCATAGTTTCTAGCCCAGACCGGATCGCCCACCTGAAGTCTCCTAGGTGTCTGCGGCTGTGACACCTGTGAAGCCACCCAGTCAGGGTGCAGTCTATCCAACTTAGTAATGAGGCGGTGACCCCAGCGCAGTTCAGCTGGGCTCTTCCCAGTGGCAGTGCATGATGTGGTGCGATGTGCAAGAAGGAAATCTGCTAACCTGTGATGCCAGCTGCCGTATGTTAGTCTTTTGAGTGCGTCTTTGGTGGTGCACATCATTCTCTCCGCTTGCCCATTGGTGGAAGGGTGAAAGGGAGCAGACGTTGCATGCCGGATCAGGTTGGCCTGAAGGAAAGCCTGGAACTCAGAAGATGTAAATTGAGGACCATTGTCAGATACAAGCACATCTTGAAGGCCATGGGTTGCAAAAATTCCTCTTAACACCTGGATGGTCCTGGCAGTAGTAGTGGAGGAGACAGGTACAACCTTTAGCCACTTGGAGTGGCTATCCACAAGGATAAGGAAGAATTGCCCCTGAAACGGCTCCGCATAATCTAAATGTACCTGTGACCAAGGGGTGTGCATCTCCTCCCACCTGTGTACTGGGGCCTGAGGCATTTCAGGCCATGATTGTTGGCACACTTGGCACCCGTGCACCTGTCAAGCCCAGGCCACCAAAGATGGCTGCACGCAAGCGCTTTCATGCGCACAATTCCTGGATGTCCCTCATGCAGTGAGGACAAGACCCTAGACCTCAGTGAGGCAGGAATAACTACTCTACTCCCCCATAATAGGCACCCATTAAAGGTAGGCAGTGCGTTTCTCCTTTGCCAGAAACTTTGAAATGTCGCATCTGGACATGTGTCAGGCCATCCTGACAATACCCACGTCAGCACGCATGCAAGCGTGTGATCAGTGGCAATCTCTGCAGCCACGTCCCTAGCATTGAGGGGAGATTCAGGCAGGTCTTGAATAGAAAGAATATGAATGGCAAGAGCAGGGTCTGGCTCTACCTGTTTCAGAGGTAATCTGCTTAGGCCATCTGCATGGCCCATCTCTTTTCCCGGTTTGTGAACTAAAATGTAGTCATATGCTGACAGGAAGATGGACCATCTCAGCATATGAGGAGAAATGATATGAGGTGTCTGTTTGTTGGTTGTAAACAATCCCAACAGAGGCTTATGGTCTGTATAGACCGTGAAGTGGCGGCCATATAAGAAATCATGGAATTTCTTAATGCCAGCCACTATTGCCAAGGCTTCTCTGTCAATCTGAGCGTAATTCCACTCTGCAGATGACAGAGTCCTTGAATAATAGGCCACAGGGACTTGTGTCCCATCAGCCTTCCGATGACTAAGTACTGCTCCCACTCCATAAGGAGATGCATCGCATGCGATGCAAACAGGCAGTTGCTCATTGAAATGTGCTAAAACAGCATTGGAAGTGAGCAAGGTCTTAACCTCATTGAAACTCCTGTCATGGACTTTAGTCCACTGCCATGGAGCCTGCTTGTCTAAGAGCCTATGTAACGGCTCTGCCACAGCAGCCTTATGTAGGAGAAATGCATGGTAAAAATTCAAAAGTACCAAGAAGGCTTGTAACTCACTCTTGGACTTTAGACTTGGGGCCTGCTGAATAGCTTGCAATTTGTCTTCAGCAGGGTGGATGCCTTGGGCATCAATCCTGAAACCCAAGAAGTCAGTTGAAGTGACTCCTATCTTATATTTATCCTGCTTTAACTTAAGGCCTGCTTTGCGAAAACGAAGCAAGACAGCCCTTAATCTCTCTGCTAGATTTTGAGATGACCCCCCAGCAATGAGAACGTCATCAAAATAGGGGCAGACCCCAGGAATACCTCAAAGTGTGCTCTCCATTACACTTTGGAATATGCCAGGGGCTACATTTACCCCAAATTGCAATCTCTTGACCTTGAAGGCCCCCCTGTGAGTTACAATAGTCTGGGCCTCTGCAGCTGCCTCATCAACAGGTAGCTGTTGATAGGCCTGTGCCAGGTCAAGTTTCACAAAGATGCGCCCCCCCTTGAGGGAGGCCAGAATGTGGCTTACAACAGGAACTGGATAAGCGTGCTGTTGCAACGCTTTATTCAGTGTGCATTTGTAATCTGCACATATACATATTTCCCCATTAGCCTTTAGAGGCGTTACTATGGGGGTTTCCCATGGACTAGAATCCACAGGTTCTAAGATGCCTTGCTGGAGCAATTTGTCCAGCTCAGCATCTATTTTATCTTTGAGGGCAAAAGGTACCCTTCTAGGCTTAACCCTGATGGGCGTGATAGTTGGGTCCAACTGTAGCGCAATGGAGGGCCCCTTGTAGAATCCTAGCTCTGAACTAAACACATCTGCAAACTCCTTGCAGACTTCTGCAAGGCTCAACGTTTGCAAATGGTGCAGCCCAGTTACCTGGATTTCCAGAGCCTCGAACCAATCGAGTCCAATAAGACTCCTACGTTCAGCCCCAACTACCACCACATCTAGGAGACCTTCAAAATCCTTATGCTGCCCCTTACGGGTGGCCTCCCCCTTAACACACACCATAGAATTCTGAAAATCTGTAAGTATTAAATTCGATGGCCTGAGTTTAACTCGAAGGCCACTATTACTACAAATCCTTTTGAATGTGTTAATTGAAATAATTGAGAGAGCGGACCCAGCGTCCAACTCCATTAATAAGGGAACCCCTTGCAACCTTACGTTAATGTAAAGTTTCTTCTTAAGGGGCTTGTGTGTCCCTGTTCTTAGAATGCTCCTGCGCGATGCGCAGAAACCCACCCTGTGTTGGCTGGCGATCCTGGTACTTTTCTGAAGCAATTCTTCCTGAGGTTGGACCTTCTGGCAACCCAAACAGATGGATGCGATGTGGCCTTGCCTGCCACATGCCCGGCAAATGGTGGAGCGGAACCTGCAATCAGCTCGCTTGTGGCGTCCTCCACATCCGAAGCATTGAAGAGCTGCTGGGGCCTTGTCCGGACGTCCCTTCTGCCTCCTCTCAGCTGGCTGGTGAAGTCTGTCCACCTCCTCTTCAGGATCCGCTTCTGATCCTTCTCGAGCATCCTCTTGATGGACGGTTGCTGTGTCTGGAGAGTTCCTGGTGAGCTACAAGGCCTTCACAGCCCCGCCAACTGCTTCCTCAGCTGCCACCTCTTGTAAGGCATCTTGGAAGGAAACATCTTTTTTGCAAAGATCTTCTGTTGTAAGTCTCTGCTCCTTAAGCTGCAAACGAAGCGATCTCGCAGCCTCTCTTCCAGATCCTTCAACTCACAAGGCCTGGCCACTTGCCTTAAGGCAGCAATAAAGTCTTCAGCAGATTCACCTGGCCTCTGGTCTCTCTGCTCGAATGCGTGCCTCCAAGCGATGATGGATAACTTTGGCTGGAAGTGTTCCTTCAGCATCTTTTTCAGATCAGCATATGTTACTGACTCGAGAGGTGCAGGGGCCACCAGATTTTCTGCGATGTCAAAAGCGTCTTGTCCACAGGCACACAAAAGAGTTGCTGCCTTCAGGCCATCTTCTCTTATCTGATTTACTCTAAAGTAATTCTCCACCCGTGCTATGTAGGAATTCCATCTCTCTGGGTTGGAAACATCGAAATCAGTTAAGCGGCCAATCTTCGATATCGTAAACTTTACGACCTTCACCAATTGCTTCCTCTGCAAACAGATGTTTGGGAAAGGGTCTTTTAGCTGAGCTCACCCTCCAGCGATGCTGTACTGGCGGAATGGGACGCTGATGCAGACGCCGTCTTCCCTCGTCAGGACTTCCTGGGTAAGTCCTTCTTCATTTCTTAAGCTTGCAAAGGATCCCACCTTCGTCGCCAGTGTTGTGTTTTCGGTTCGCAAGCAATTGACGAAGACGCATGGTGGAAACAATAGCTCTTTATTCTCCTTCTCCAATTCCAAGCAAAGAGCAAAAGGCGCACAGGCCTTTTATAAGGTGAGGAACCCAGATAGTGCTAACCAATAGCAACGCAGCATTTTCACGCCTTGCACATGCTCTGTCTGGTCCCGGGCAGCTTTTACAATGCCTGGGACCATTTGCAACCTTTCTGGGCCTGCTGAGTTTCCTCAACAGGCCCAGGACACAACAATTACGATGACTGTAAGTTGTCACCATAGTCCCCAAACTGATTTTCCACCAATGGCAGCATTTTAGTTGTAGCATAAGCTAGTCATCCAACCACATGCTAATCACAGACTTTCTCAACCTACGACTGCTGAGGAACTATTGGATTATATTTTCCATTTTCCTGTCAGTGATTGGATCACGTTAGATGTTGAAGTAGATTTTAAGTATATCAAAATGCTAAGAAAAGTTATATGGATGTAAAGCAAAAGAAACCTCTTGCTTGGATCAAGTTCACTTCCCCATATCCTTCACCAAATCGCAGTTTCTCCTATTTGCCAGACTTCATTTTGCATGAAGAGGTGCAAAACATGAAAGATTTATTTATTTATCTATTTATTTATTTTTCTTATTAGGATACAAAGCAGCTCAAAATGTTTTTTAAAAAATCTGACATATAGTGCAAGATTTTATTGATTGCATTTTTTTTCCTTATACATATCCTTGTGAACACATGGAATAGACGCTTTCCTTGTTTGTTGCTTTTGTATACCAATGGAGACAGATGTTTTCAGAAAGCTGAATTCTGCATCCTGTATTACACCTTAACTATAGTGGGTTTTGCAGCTACTTTTTGTACATAAGTATCTTAATAAGAAGGGCCGTAGTGGCGCAGTGGTTAGAATGCAGTATTGCAGGATAATTCTGCCAACTGCTAGAAGTTCGATTCTCACCGGCTCAAAGTTGACCTTCTATCATTCCGAGGTCAGCAAAATGAGAGCCCAGATTGTTGGGGGACAATATGCTGAATCTGTAAACCGCTTAGAGAGGCTGCAAAACATTGTGAAGCAATATATAAGTCTAAATGCTACTGCTACTGCTATCATCACGTACACATAAAGCTCTGCATTCCTCCTGCTGAAACGTTATGCAGAGATAAGATGACTCCACTTGAGCATCATCTGTGCTCCAGAGCAACTATTTCTTCAGTGTACAACACAAACTGTACTTGTCCCTGTGTAGTTTCAATAGTTCCTTTGCTTCTTTCTCCCACTCCAGGGAAGATAAGCCCTCCTGAATTATCAGCCTACTTGTATTTTCTCTTCTGCCCTACTTTGATCTACAGAAAGAGCTATCCAAGGTAAGTCCTAGCATATCATCCTTGTGTTTCTGAGCTCCTTGGTTTCTCAGCTGTATCAGAAAAAGAGTGGGCAAAACAGGCTTCAGTGTCTACAGCCCATGTCCCTAGAGCAATGGTGTAACCATTGTATTTCCCAAGAAAAGGGAACTGCACCCTTATCACATCTCAACCCAATCCCTACTCCTTTCCTTATAGAGATCCATACATTCGCTGGAGTTACGTCATCCAAAAATTGGTTGAGGTGAGTAAAACACATTAAGTTTCCATTGGCTAGTTGGTTTTATCTGGCCTCTTTATGGATTAGAAATGTGCTTGGACACTATTGCATTTTCTCACAAGACTGAGCTTAATTGGGAACCCTACAGTATATTAGCTGGCCATGGTAGTAAATAGCAATAACGCTTTAATAAACCCTGAGTGACTAAAGGCCACCATTTAAATTTCCCAGAGTTCTCTACCCTTGAGTGAATTATAACATTTGCCCTGAGTCATGTTTGATGCAAAAAAGTTCACTGCCCCTAAGAGATGTACAATTTAAAACTTTAGACACAATGTACATATTTTCAAATATATCCCAAAGGAAAACAAAAGGAAAAAGGGTTTGAAAGAGAGCAGAGTTAATGGAACTTAGAGCCACTCAGCAAGTGAGTGGTACAGAAATCTATGACAGGTTGACTAAAACTAAAGAAAAGGGAGGACAGCATTTGGGCATTGTAGGAGATTAAAATGGCAGCCAAATTCAGCTTCTGAAACCTATATGAGAAGAAGGTTGTTCTTAGTCATAGCCAAAGAAACCAGTATGCCTTGCCAGAACATTGAGATGCCAGTGGATCACTAAGGTAGTATTTTTTCTCTCTGTCCCACAGTTCCTGGCGAGTATATATTTTGTGAATTTCCTTATGAAATACTCCTTCATCCCTATGTCCAAAAATATGCACAAGCAGCCCTTCACCATCAAAATCCTGCTACTTTTCATCTTTGATTCAGTAGTACCTGGTATGTGGAAACAATTATGATTTAATTTGTGTAATGGGATTACAGGATAAGGTTGATTTATCACATTTTAGAGAAAGTGAAGACGTACAACAGGTAGTTCTCAATTGAGAACCATTTGTTTAGTGACCTTCAAAGATACCACAGCACTGAAAAAAGTGACTTATAACTATTTTTCACACTTATAGCTGTTGCAGCATCCCACATGCTCATGTGATCAAAATACATGCCATAAATACTGGCATGTATTTATGATGGTTGCAGTGCCCCGGAGGGTAGCACAATTACCTTTTGCATCCTTCTGACCAGCAAAATCAATGGGGAAGCCAGATTCACTTAACCACTGGGTTGCTAACTTAACAACTGCAATGATTCACTCAAGAAGTGGCAGGAAAAGTCATAAAATGGGGCAAAACTCAACTGTCTCACTTAGCAAAAGAAATTTTGGGTTCAATTGTGATCATAAGTCCAGGAATACCTGTAGCAACTCAGTGATACATTGTAAGCCATGTTGAATTGCTTTGGGTTGCAAGATGGGCATCATATAAATTTAATAAATAAATAAATTGTTACCTCATCCCACAGCCCAAGATATAGATGATTTTGGACTATATGTAGCACCCACAGAAAATGATGAGGTAGATCTGGAAGTCTGCTAGTTTTATTCATGATGAAAGTATGTGAAATAGAACAAATGTCCAGCAAAGAAGTCTTTATGAATTCATTGTTGGATGATTCTGTTTCCTGTAAAAGGGCTTTAGCAACCTGTAGATACTTATTCTTTTCTTCTGCTTTTGCCTCAATTATTCTCCAAGTGCCACGCACTATGCCCCTTTGAACTTTGTCCTGTTCAAATTCTCAAAGTCCATCATCTTTCCTTGCAATAAGGGGTATGCAAAAATTCTATAGACGTGGGAGAAAGCTGGAGACTATGGTGCTGCTCATAAAATTCTACTTACCAAAAATGCTATCTTACTTTACTTCTGAAAAACAATTTTGTAGTCCTGGCTGCAAGGATAGGTTTACAAGGCAGCTGGCAATGGGCGGCTGAAACCTTAGGAGGCAGCTTAGCTGCTGCTGAAACACATGACTCATTATTAGATGGAACAGCTAAACAATTCTGTACAGGACTTTCTCCTTCTGTAAGATTATAAGAATGCATAATGCAAATGCATAATGGACAAATGACAGAATAAAATTTTGCATTGTAGGAATTGAAATCTGGTCTGGTTCTTATTCCAAGCTGGGAGAAAGACATAGAAAAAATGAACTGAAGCAACTGCAGTTGCTCCAATTGAACTGGTGCTGTTTGGTGTCAGTGTAGTAGAGATTAAGGATTTGGGATCGCAACATTTGACTGCCAAATTAGTGTTCAGGGAACCTGGTTTTAACTGATGTGATGTTTGTCCCACATAGAATTGGTTGCAATCGTTACAGTTGATTTTGTAGATTACATAGTTTCTTTCATCCTTCTGTATCTTGTCTTTGGTTTTGGATAATTCCTGGTGGAATGTGGCTATGGGTTTGTAGGTTATTGCTATTCCTAGGTTTGGAAAATTCTGGCTGTCATTTCTGACCCCACTCTTGTGTATTGTAGGGTTAGTGGTCTCTTGTGGTTTGGGTGCTGTGTGTTGGAATATGAAGTTTTTTGGATAGCCGTTATGTAGAAAGACGTTAAGCAGCTATTTCTCTTCTGCTTTTTTTTAGTGTTGTGGTGCTGCAGTTTGTGCTGGCCCTTCTGAAGAAGATCTGATCCATGTGCGTGGGTTTGGGGTAGATGCGGGTTTCCAGTTCTCTATTGTCTAGTCTCCTTATGTCGATGTCGAGGAATGGGTGGTCTGTTGTCTGTTGTCTTCTTTGCATGTGAATTTCATCCCAGGGAATACGTTATTGAGTAGACAGTCTGTTTCTTCAATTTGGGAGTGTTTGATGATGACAAATGTGTCATTGACATAGCATATCCAGAATTTTGATAGGATGGTCGGTAGAGTTATGGATTAAAGCTCGGAGAATGAACCTTCACCTTCAATATTGTGTCTGTTTGCCCCCTTGAGTTATATATTCAAAGGTGGGTAAAAATATAATAATAATAATAATAATAATAATAATAATAATAATAATAATAATAATAATAATAATAATAACACTTACCTGCAAGGAGAACTGGTAAGAGCACAAGATAGACAAACAGTAGAAAACAAAGACACTAAAGTGTTCTGGCACTTTAGAATTAAAGCAGACAAGCACCTGCCACACAACACTTTATGTTAACAATTATCAATAAGACAAAATTCACGAATGAAGGCAAATGTACGTGTCCTAGGATAATGTTGCAGGATCCAATCTGGGTCGGTCACCTGGAACAGGGGTTTTCTCTTCCAAGCTTTCGGACTCATGCTGGTGCCCATCTTCAGGAAACTTTCTCTAGCCTAGGCTAGAGTCCAAAAGCGTGAAAGACAAAACATTTGGTCCCAGTGACTGACCCAGATCGGATCCTACAACAAAAAAGTTTGAATAGCACACATTGTAGTACTTGGAAAAAGCAGAAGAAAAGAGAAAGAACTGGAAAAAAATCACAAAATATAAAGACCTGCAAATAGAACAATTGTGGCCAAAGAAAGCACAGTTAGTACTAATAGTAATAGGCACCTTGGGTGCAATCCCAAAACATCTGGAGCACAACTTGAAGACTATCAGCACTGACAAAACCACTATCAGTCAATTGTAAAAGGCAGCTTTGCTTGGACCAACCATGACCTGGATGATTAGATATTCCACTACGATGCTAACCTCTAAAAGTCTAACCTAAAAGTCTAATTTGATTGGCAGTTGTCTGCCTTAAATCCGTAAGAATAATTGCATTTTTAATCTCTGGGAAGAACTGATGTATTTCTTTACCTCTCTCATTCAGGTATAACTCTGGCAGTCATGATCAACTATTTCATCCTGCACTGCTGGCAAAACATGTTTGCTGAGATCCTGCGCTTTGCAGACCGTTCTTTCTACAAGGTGATAACAAGGAGTGGGGGAGGTTGCAAGAAAGATACGGAGAGTCTGGATTTCATTCCTCATGGATAGACTTGAATGGTCCATTGACCACTCTGTGAAGAACAGTATGAAAAACTTTGCAAAGAGTTCTGAGATGTTATGGCTCTAAAAGAAAAGCAAATTTTAACTTGCTGAAAAAACTGTACTGATGAAACTGACATTGAAGCATCAAATTACTTGTAATCAAAGTAATAAATATAGGTAGTCCTCATTTAGCAGTTGGTCACAGTTAGAACGATGATGGTAAAGTAAAGTTATGATCAGTCCTCATATTTACAATCTCTGCAGGTCTGTAAAGGAAAGGAAAGTTGAAAAGATTTCAAGCATTTTTATCTATGCTAATTGTTTTAATGGATTTGAAAATATTTTACTTTTTGCTTTTGTCATATGGCACCAGAGTCACTTCAGATGAGATGGGCAACTATGTAAATTTGGCAATAAAGAAATCTGACAAATAAATAACACAACTATTTCCACTTAACGACCACTTAACCACTTTGTTGCTGCTCTCAATTGTGGTCACTAAATTAAGACTGCCTGTATATTTAGGGACTGTAAGAGAAATCAAATAATATGTTCTGAAAGACTTTGCAAGATCCCACATGATCCCACATCATTCATCAGCCTTCCCAATGGCTGAAATCTCACCTTTCATGCCCCCCTTGCCACTCAGTCTCACCCCTTCCCTAATACCCAGTTGCACCTGCTTGCTCTCCCACACCCAACAGCAGCCTGTTTGGGAGTTGCAGATTCCTGCTGGTTTTCCCACTGACTTAGTGGTGGAAATTCTAATCCCAATTGCCCTTCTAAGTCCAGGACGATCAAGAGTGGATTGTCCTTTTGCTTGCCAAAAATACAGGGATGTTCTAGTTTCATGCTATTTATTCCATTCTCCCTGCCTAGGACTGGTGGAATTCCAAATCATTCTCTGGATTCTTTCGGACATGGAATGTGATTGTACATGACTGGCTGTACTACTATATTTATCAAGATATTCTGTGGGTAGGTAAGGTTGTAATGGGCTATGAGAATAAACTTTGGGGCCAGGAGGAAGAACTTCAGCCAGGGCAATGGTCAACAAGAGATGCCTCAGCCCATAGCAGGAATTGGGGGGTAGAAGAGCATCTCAGAAGGGATTCTCTCTTGTTGTTCAGAAAATAAAGGCCGGAAAGGAAGGAAGTGCTTTCAGACTTGCAAGATTCTATTAGTGTAACTTTACAATAAAAGCACAATTATTTGGTTTGGTTTACTGTCTGGAGTATCTGAAAGGACTGGCAAGCTTACCAAACCCACCCTATATTATCTCATAAAGTAGATCTGCTGTGTGTAATCACTCTATGCCTGTCTTCATTGTTTATTGGTAAGTACCAAGATGAGGTCTCATGTGCTCCTTCTCTTTCAGCTGGTTGGAGGGAGAGCCCGAGGTGGAGCTATGCTGATTGTCTTCCTTCTCTCAGCGGCTGTCCATGAATACCTAAACACCTTGGCCTTTAGCATCTTCTTTCCTGTCATCTTTGTGCTATTTGCCACGATAGGAGGTCAGTACTCCCTCAGAAAATGGACTGAACTTTTACTCAGAGGATTCAAGCAAGGCCGGTAAAAAAATAACGTGGCATGGATTGCTCCTGGTGAACCTTCTTTCATTCTGTCCTACCCTCCTCTGGTTTTGGGTTTCCACACTTCCCAAATGGTACACACTCGTGTTCCTTTTGATACATTTTTTTTTACCACTGGGAGGTGGAGTTGCTCCAAATTTATTCAAACTATATGAAGCCAGTGGTCAGAGTCTTGTGGTGGGTCTTGTGATCCATCTAACCCTAACCCCTCACAAGACCCTCACCCTATGTGACCCACACCTGACCCATCACAAAACCTATCACAGGACCCTCCCTTGTGACCCACACCTGAAAACACGGAGACCTTATAAACAGAAGTACACTGACACTGACATCCCCTAAATTCCACTGAAAAGGTTACATAGCCTGGTAACGAAACCCACAAGCTTAGAGAACGAACCTCCACCCCACCTCATGTGCTCCAGATTTATTATTATTATTATAATTTCCAGTATGCTCAGTCATCACAGCCTTCGGACATCTTGGCTACAGAATCCTGGGAATTGCTTGCCTCAAACGTGGAGCTTCCTAAATTGAGAAAGACTAGCTAAGGAAAGATTCAGGGCATTATCCTCCCCCACCCCCACCAGTGTTTCTCATTCTTGGGGACTTTAAAATGTGTGAACTTCAGCTCCCAGAATTTCCCAGGCAGCCATGTGCATTGTATTATTCCCTCAGATGGTGCATTGTATGCTTAGGTTGGAGGCTGCTTTTTCATCCCTGAGAAAATTATTTTGGTGTCGTATTTTTTTCAAATTTTGCTAGTCACTGACTGAGTAAACAGTGGTTCTTCCCTGAGAAAATTCAGATTCTTTACTCCAACAGGAGGGGAAAAAATAAGGTCAAACAATTTTACAAATTAAAAAGCAAGAGCAAAGAGCAAAAACAAAATTAATAACTGGAAAACAAAATGTTGCTATTTCAGAAGTCCAGTTACAATTCCAAAACAGATGCAAGTACTCTTTTATCTGCGTCCTGACCATGACTAAACTTTAGTTGTAATCAGGATGCAGATAAAAGAGGAACAGGGAAATAGCCTAGGTTCTAGGAGCAGGGAGTTCCATCTACAAGGGTATTGCTTTGAGAATTTTCTTTCCCAAATTATTTTACCTCCATAGGAGTAGGGATGAGGCATACAGTATTGTCTTATAATTAACATGGGAATTGCTGTTATTTTAGATTTGGTAACGAAGAATATTTGTATTGCAAATAACAATTATTAGAAATCAATAATTATCTCCTTGGCTCAGTGTGATTGGAATATATACAATTAATCCTTTTTCTGTTTGTTTTCATAGTGTTGCTTAACTTTGTTCTAAATGATAAGAGAAAAAACCCTGTCTGGAACATCATCATATGGATATGCCTCATTTTGGGCACGACGACCATTTTCTCCTTATACAGCCAAGAGTGGTTGGCATGTGCCCACTGTCCACTCAAGGAGGTGAGTAGACAGTCTACCAATGCGGAGTTAGAATAAGTCTTGGGTTTCCTCTTCATGTTATTTTCCAAGAGGGTCAAGCCTACTAGTTGGCATATATCCCAGCTGCTAAAATTAAGGTAAAGAAGGTGGGGAATTTAGAAACACCAGGAACTTGCAGATAAAATTGTTCTAAAGCTATGTGCTGATTCTAATTCTGCTGGTATTGGCAATGTCTAATGGCAGCTCAGGGGATATAATCTGTACCCGTATCTTCTAATTGACTAATCTACTGACTGACTGACCAACTGACTGACTGGTTAGTTTGTGCCATTAAGCTGGTTCTGATTCCTAGTGACAACATAAATAGATCTTCTCCATGTTGAACTATGCCTACCTGTTCTTTCAAGTCTCCCAATGGGGCAGTCATAGCCGGTATAATTGACTCCACTCACTTTACTGCTGATCATCCTTCTCTTCTCTTTCCTTCCTTCTTTTCCAATGTTATATATTCCTAGTGTTATTCACCTGTATCTATGCTAGTTCGTAAATAAATATGTATTTGATTTTTATCCTGCTTTTAGTTCTGCTCAGCTGAAGGCACTATATATTTCTAATCCTCCCGCTTCCTATTTTTCCAACAACAAACCTGTGGGGTGGGCTGCGCTGACTAGACCCAAGTCACTCAGCTTACTTTCATCTCTAAGGGAAGCCTAGAACTAACTATCTCCTGATTTCTAGGCCAGTATCTAAACCACTACATCAAACTGGCTCTTAAGTTAAAAATTTCTGTCTCATCACTATTGGGAAAAACAAGGGCTCAGAATACTTATTTGCATGTATTTGAAAACTACAGTAGATGTTATTAAAAATGAGAGATCAATGGTTTCAATTTTTGTTGTTTTCAGATATAAAGAGAGTGATAAAGCAGAGGGAAAAATATCTATAATTTGGCTGGAACCATTTAATTAAGGATTGTTTGATTATTACTTAATATTACTTTATTAAGATTATGCCTGAATCACCCTTTGGCTTTAAAACATTAAAATACTCCAATCAATAAAAAAATAAAGAAAAAATAATATTTCACATTGGTTGCACTTAGGGGGCATTTCAGTATGTGAAAAAAAAGCATCTGACTGTTATTGATACATGAATGCTGCGAAGTTCTCATTGTTTTATTTTCACTTCATTCCTTTTCATTCTATGGAGCCCTGGACAGGAAAAAAGACCAAACCAAAGGTCCATTGAGAGCAGCAGATACGCCCAATCTGTTGCCAGCCATGGATGCTGGCTCTGATTGGGAATCCAGCACATTCTGGGGACCCCAGGTTCCATAAGGTTTTATTGCAAGATTCTGTTCTACAGCCTAGTCAGAGATGCTCACCTGCAGGGAGACAAAGCAAACCTTTCTTCCTTCTCCTCATAACAGTAGCTGCAAAAGGTGCTCTGCAACATGCAGTATTGAACATTCTGGGTCTAAGAGCCTTTGATAAGTAACATCCTCCAAGTATGGGCTACCTTGAGTTGCCTCCAGGAGTTGAAGGGCCTGAGAAGCGAAACTGCCAGAACCAGATCCTGCATCCTGGAAGAGGCTAGGCCTGCAATTCAAATCTCTTCACTGCTGCCTTCGACCTTGCTGAGACTTTGGGAGTATTGTGCTAATGGGCTCCTAATTGTATTGGAACATATGTATATATATATGGTTGATCTTGTTGACCCAGATCTAAGCATGTGATTAGCTGGAATTCTTGTATTATTTTGTCTGATGGTAGTTCTTTCTCTTCTGCCTATTGTCTCTCTTTTGACGTAGTCATCATTTTCTTTTTTCAGAAGACCTTCTGGCAGCTAGTGACTCCATGTTCCTGGTCTTGCCACCAATAAGCAGCTATTTCCAGCCTTCCCTATCCTACTTTGCTTCAAAAATGACTTCCGAAAAAGATAGCACATTACTCTGCTGCTGTGGCAAGAAGGACTCTCAGCACATCAGGCCTCTCCTCCCCTCCCTCCATGAAAAGCTGTATTTGGCAATTCCTCACCTGAGGGTGCTAAAATTTGGTTTGCAGGTTCAAAGGCTCTCACCTAATGGAGACAAAGAAATGTAGCATTTAACAAAACATCTATAAAGATCCATGCTGTGTCAGGTCCATGGGCCCTTCTTGATGCTCACTTTCCATGGGAAAACGGTTAAGGAAAATTTGTAAATGACAATCTTTGATTGCCTCCAAGACTTGCAAAACAATCTCTCTTTCATAACCTATTTAAAAGAAAACACGAGAGCTCCACCATGAAATGTAGGTTATCCACCTCCTAGCTTTAATCCAAACTCTGTTGTTTTTAAATCAATAGGCAGCTTTCCAGATACTGGTGAAATCCAGCTCCCATTAGGTCCAATGATGAGGAATGATGGGTACTTAGAGTGCAACAATACCAGAAGTACTGCTTATATTTCCTACCATTAGACTTTCATTCAACATTTTATCTCTAGCTGTGAATGAAAGGAGCCTGATTTACCACCAGGCAATATCCATTCAATGCCTACTGTATTGTGTGAATGATGTTTGAAACTATATTTGGAGAAAAGGGATCCCCAAACCACAAAAGAATAGACTGCAATATGAGACAAGGGTAAAGCCACCTTTTCACCATGCCATATTTCTCATCCAAGGAGAAATACAGTACAATATTTTTTTAAAAAAAACCTTTGGTCACAATCCTGATGGTGCTTCAATTGTTTCTCTCAGTGTAACAAGAAAATGACATCTTTTGTTTCACTGCAGAGGCTGAAGCATTGTCTGCAGAGTATTTGAATGTGGGCACAGCATTTAGTCATGTGGATTTTATTCAAAATGATGCTAAATAGGCAATCAAGAGAACATTCTTATTGTTAGCACAAGGTTAGTTTAGCTGTTTCTACAATTATGTTTTTAATATTGGAGGAAAGGGCAGGCACTTTGAATAAAAGTGTGTTGACGTTCATAATGCAACTTGTGTAATTTTTAAAAACAGATACTGTTCTATGTTAGTGTTATCAGATCTCTCTAATTTTCTGTTACTCTGCTGCCTGATTCACAAATTATATTAAGTCAGTTTTGGCTTAAGCTCGGCTTAATGAGTCAAATGGAATTGACAGCATTTATACAATCCACTCAGAACCAATTTGTAGAATCTTTTCTTCAGCTTCTGTCAGTCTGAGTAATTAAATTCCTCTTGTCGAATCCTTGATCTGTAGTGTAGGTAGTCCTTGACACCCAATTGAACCAAAAATTTCTGTTGCTAAGTGAGACAGTTGTTAAGTGAGTTTTGCCCCATTTTACGACCTTTCTTGCCATAGGTGTTAAGTGAATCATTGCAGTTAATAACATGGTTGTTAAGTGAATCTGGCTTCTCCATTGACTTTGCTTGTCAGAAGGTTGCAAAAGGTGATCACATGACCCAGAGACCCTGCAACCATCATCAATATGAACCAGTTGCTGAATTTTGATCACATGACCAAGAGGATGCTGCAACACTCACAAGTATGAAAACAGTCATAAGTCACTTTTTTTCAGTGCCATTGTAACTTTGAATGATCACTAATGAAGTAGACTACCTGTATTAGGAGCTGTGGTGGCATAGTGGTTAGAATGCAGTTTTGGTGGCGGACAGGACGGATGGAAGAAGCCGGCTCTCCTGCTTCCCAATCTGATTTCACTTTGCCTAGCAAACTTTAAAGGATCAGAAAGTTGCCCTGGAGGGGCAACAAAAAAGGAGGGACACCCCAGAAGCTTGGATCAGGCGGCAGCCGATCGGAGTGAACTGAAGAAACCCTCTGAAAAGGTGGAGGAAAGGCTGCTGGATGAGCTGACGCAGCCCAAGTCATCCCAAGCCAGAGGGGAAATGAGGAGCTGCAGCTGAAGCGCTCCGCTAAACAGCTGGCTGTCAAGAGCGTGCTGAGATGGGTGAGCCAGTGCTTTAATACTTCTCCTTGTGGATTATAAAATGTTGAGCCCCTGATGGGGAAGAGCTAAAAGCAAAGACACCCAGAAGAATTAACTTAAAAGTGGCGAGTAACTAGAAAGAGGGAAAACTCTTAAAGAATATCAGACATTCATAAATAAGTGTATGAGGACATCTAGTGGTGAAAGAAGAAACGATAGTATAAATAAATATTGGGAAAACTCTTTTGACCTTGAAAAGACAACACCAGTAGAAAACAAAGTGCCTTGGTGTGAGATTACAAGGGAAAAGACTCCTCATAGTTGATTTTGGCTATAACTAAACAGAAATTATTTGGAGAAAGTGAACATTTTGCTTCGGAGACTCGACTGGAGGAGGTGGATTTACTCAAAAACAGCTGGCATCTTCCTACATCCAGGACTTTATTTTAAGATTGTTGGCTGTAAAATGACTACATCCAACATTACTAGACTTATGAAGAAGACCTCTTCTGCACCCTCTGTTGGACAATCTAGCCCAGCAACCCAGGGATCTATTGAAACAATGCTGCAGTGTGAGAAAATAAGCACTGCCCAAAATGAAATACAGGCCTCACTAAAATTGGTCCAAGAGATGATGCAAAAAAATCATGAAGAGACATGAAGAAATTTTGATAAATTAAGCGAAGAAATCTTGGATGTAAAGGCACAATTTGAAGCTCAACATCAAATGATTATTAAAAAGGAACAAAGAATTCAGAAAATGGAAAATAAATCAGAGGATATTGATAAAAATGGAAATGTTATCACAAGAAAATGAAAAATTAGAACAAGCCAATCAAAATCTAGAGGGGACAGTTGCAATTCTAAAAATGGAAAAGGCAGAACACTATTTGAGATTTCAAAATATGCCTGCGGACAGAGAAGAAAACATAGCAGATGTGATCACTGAGCTTTTACCAGAAGCTTTGAAGGCAGATAAAGCAGGGATGCAAATGGAGAGAGATGAAACATTTCAAATGAATTCAAGCAATGCAAGGAAGAATAAACTACCAAGAGAAGTATATGTAAGATTCATAAAGAAAACTACAAGAGATGAAGTACTGAGAAAAGTGAGAGATGAGCCATTACAATATAAAAATAAAGAAATCGTGGTTTTAAAGCAGATACCTAAGAGAGTAAGAGATACTCGAAGACACTACCATTTCTTAGCTACAAAGCTGATTGCAAAAGGCATAAACTTTAGATCAGTGGTGGCGAAACTTTTAGAGACCGAGTGCCCAAACTGCAACCTGAAACCCACTTATACATCGCCGGGTGCCGGGGGCGTGGCCACCAAATGGGTGTGGTCAAGTGGGAGTGGCCACCAAGTGGGTGTGGCCACCAAATGGGCATGGTTAAATGGGCGTGGTCACTGAATGGGTGTGACCAAGTGGGCGTGGCCACCAAATGGGCATGGCCAAGTGGCCGTGGCCACCAAATGGGCGTGGCCGAGTGGGCATTGTCACCTCGATGTTGCTCCTGAGATGCCTGTGGGGGCTGGGCAGGATTGGGGGCGATCCAGGGGTTCTCTGGCAGGTGAGGCAGTGAGTANGGAACTCAACTCCTACCTCGGGCAGCTCACCTATCCCCCTATGCCCAGGGGAAAGGAGCGTAAACAATTTCTTATTCTCTTTCCTTCCTTTTTATAAAATACTACATTTTATAAAATACTACAAACAACAAAAAAAATCAGGGATGTATGAAATTATAGACCAATCAGCCTGACATCAGTACCTGGGAAGATCCTGGGAAAGATAATGAAGCAAGGAATCTGTGGACATTTAGAAAGCAGCAAAGCTCTTACTAGAAGCCAACATGTCTTTGTCAAAAACAGATCACAGTTAGGTAGAGCCCCAGGGGTAGGCAACCTTGGCTCTTTCATGACTTGTGAACTTCAACACCCAGAATTCCTCAGTCAAGAATGGCTGGTTCAGAAATTCTGGGAGTTGAAGTCCACGAGTCCTAAAAGAGCCAAGGTTCCCCACCCCTACGCCTAGACAAAACGTATTGCATTCTTTGTCCAAGTGACTAAAATAGTGGAATGGCAGTGGACATCCTGCTGCGTTTCCCCTCTCTTCCACAGCTCACCTTGCAACTCTGCGCTCTGCCAGGCTTGGAGCTCGGGGTTTGCTCAGGGTGCTGCTGCTGCTGCTAAGTGGATCTGGTGCCGCTTATCGGTGCCCTGGTTGTTTAGTCGCCACGGCGCTGCCCTCCTGCAGGCTGCCTGCTCCTCCCGTCTTTCCTCTCGTGCTCTGGGGGAAGCGGGCGCTTGTCTCTCTCTCTTGGGAGGCAGCCGCCCACCCATTCTGGGCTGCTCCTACCTGGTGGGAAGCTGCTGAGTAGTATCCGGGGCCAGGTGGAAGGCGACACGGGGGCCACATGCAGGCCCCTCCCCTTGGCAGCCTCTGCTCCTCCCTCCCTCCCCCCCAATCTGCCTTCCCAGCCTGGGCTCCCTGTTTCTCCACTGGGCATCTGCATCCGTGGTTCCTCTGCACATGTGGAGAGTGCCCTGTTGTGCCTGAGCTCCCCCTCCCATCCTGCCCTGCAGCCCCGCCCCTTCCTCTCCTTTTGCCTCTACTCCTCCCCCTTTAGTCTGCCTTCCCAGCCAGGACCACGTGCTCCGAAACCTCCTCTGGTCCTGCGGTGAGGGTCCGTGTCATAGGTTCCTCGGCCCATGCGAAGAATGTCTCTGCTCTCTGGAAGCTCCTCCTGCTCTGGTTGACGTGTGTGTTTTTATGAGGCATCTTCTTTTTGTAGGTTTTCCTGTTTAGGGACTCAGTTCAGAGTGCCAGTCAGCAGCAATGATCTTCAGTTACCATTTTTCGCTACTGCTAGAAGACTTTATTGATCTTTCCTCCTCACTTGATAATTCATATTTAATTTAAGGCTTGTGGGAAGTAAAGTCTTCATCCTGGTTCATCCAAG